GCCCCCATCTTAACCATTTTTAAGTGTATAGTTCAGTAGTACTAAGTATATTCACATCGTTGTACAACAGATCTCTAGAACTTTTTAATTCTGTAAAACTGAAATCGTATATCCATGAAACACTAATTTATCCCTCCTTTCTTCCCCAGCCCTTAGAACTATCTTTCAATTCTCTGTTTCTCTGATTTTGACTACTTTAAATACTTCATATGAGTAGAATCATAGAGTGTTTGTCCTTTTGACTGGCTTATTTCACTTAGCATAATGTCCTTGAGGTAAGTTCACTCATGTTGGAGCATATGACAGGGCTTTTCTTCTTTTTAAGCTGGCATAATTTTCCATTGTGTATATATATATATATATATACTGCATTTTCTTTATTCTTCAGTTGATGGACATTTGGTTTGCTTCCACCTTTTGGCAATTAAGTAGAAATGTTTTTATAGTATGAAAACTTGCTTGAGAAGTGGGATTAACCCTGTGTGTTCATATTATATATAGTTAAGTCTCATAAAGATATCTTTGCTCTACTTAAGAAAGTGTTCTTACATCCTGATTATGGCATTAAGAATATATACATTTGTTTTCCTTTTAGTCCTGTTACTACAGCTATAATTCAAAGAGGAACTTTGAGGAAAGGCTCAATTCTGGTTGCTGGAAAGAGTTGGGCAAAAGTACGCTTAATGTTTGATGAGAATGGAAAAACTATCCATGAGGCCTGTCCCAGCATGCCAGTGGGAATTGTAGGCTGGAGAGACCTCCCTTCTGCAGGAGATGAAATTCTTGAAGTAGAATCTGAGGTATATCAAGTTTAATTCCTATATATTAGATATGATACAGTGATTTTAAATATTAATCTATGATGTTATACCAAATAAGTATATTTATGTTAACAAATAATTGCAGATTGTAAGGGCTTGTGAGGGGGCCAGTAGTGCCATTTTAGAATTTGGCTACAGAATTTTTAAAAATTTGAGCTAATATTTTTAAATTAAATCATCTGTTATACACAAAGCCCCCCAGATTAAAGTTTTATAAGTTTCTTGAAATTTATAAAATTAGTGGTTTCATGTATGAGTTAAGCTAAGCTAAGTTGAGGAAAAAAACAAAGCTTTTAACCCATAAGTTACTGGTTTCTATTTAGTTAGATAACGCCTGTTTTTTTCCCTGTAAAGCCAAGGGCACGCGCAGTTGTTGACTGGAGGAAGTATGAGCGAGAACAGGAGAAAAATAAAGAGGATCTGAAAATAATAGAAGAAAAGCGAAAGGAACACCAAGAAGCACAACAGAAAGCCCGTGAGAAGTATGGCAATATGCACTGGAAGGAGAGATCATTTCTAAAGTACCAAGAAAAAAAAGAACAAAAACACTTACAGTCAAAAGAGAAAGAAGAAAGGGATTCACACGTACTTCCTATAATTATTAAAGGTGACTTCGGAAAGATTGTACTTTACAACTCATATCTGGATATGAGTATGTGTTTCTTCATTCTCACAGTTAATTCAGGCCATTAAATTTAAGCTAAAATTATTTTGGCATTTAGGGAGAGGTTTTTTTTGTTTTTTTTTTAAGATTTATTTATTTATTTGAGAGAGAAACAGAAAGCAGGGGAGAGACAGAGAGAAACTAAAGCAGGCTCTGCGCTGAGCTCAGAGCCCAACATATGCCTGGATCCCATGACCTGAGCCAAAACGAAGAGTCCGATGCTTAACCAACTGTGTCACCCAGGTGCCCCAGGGGGAGATTTTTTTTTTTTTAATTGAGGTATAATTGACATATAACATTATGTTAGTGTCAGGTGTACAACATAATGATTTGATATTAGTAAATATTGCAAAATAACCACCACAGTTCGTCTAGCTAACATCCATCATCATACATAGTTACAAAAATTTTTTTCTTGTGATAAGAACTTTTAAGATCTACTCTCTTAGCAACTTTCCAATATGTAATATAGTATTATTAATATAGTCGCCATACTGTATGTTATATCCCATGACTTACTTATTTTGTAACTGGAAGTTTGTACCCTTGCCCTCCTTCACCCTTTTTGCCCATCCCTCACTGGGGGAGATTTTAATAAACATTTTTCTTGCTGATTTTGTTGTAAATGTACATTTGGTTCATTATACTTTATTTAAAGTTAAATAGATATTTATAATGCTAAACCTAAATAAAAGTGGATTTAGTGGTAAATGGCATTCTTGTTATGGCTTTAAATAGATTTTTGTTGTTTTTGTGTCTGTTAATGCCTCTTAACACTGGTGATTTTAAACTTCTGCATTTAGGTGATGTTGATGGTTCCGTCGAGGCTATTGTGAACATTATGGATACCTATGACGCTTCACATGAGTGTAAACTTGAATTAGTACATTTTGGTGTGGGTGATGTCAGTGAAAATGATGTTAACCTTGCTGAAACATTTCGTGGTAAGGATTCTCTTTCCTATTTGTTTAACTGTGTTCCCTAGAACACACTGTGAACCATTTGCTTCTGTCTTTTGTTGGTTGGCTAGTCAGTCTGCCATTTATCCTTATGAGCATCCCCCTCCTGCTGTAGTCAAGCCCCAGCCATGGAGCTGAATGGGATGTGCAGTATTGCAGCCATAGCTCCACTCATTGTCCCTATACTGCAACCCTGGGGAACTCTTTTGAGCCCCAGTAGTGTTTCTTGTTTTTTTGTTTTGTTTTGTTTTGTTTAAGATTAGTGTCCTCTACCCCCTCCCAGTTCCCCACCCAATCCAAGGTTGGTTATCTTTTATTTAGACTTTTGAATGCTCCTAATACTGTAATCAGCCTCTTCAGTACTTCATCTTTTACTTTTGTCTACCTATTTTTTGTTTATTGGTAGTTTTACAAATTATATGTCTCTTAGATTAAAAGCTGTTTTTAGCTTTAGTGTGTGTGCTTCCAAAGCGAGCACTGTTTTTAGCTTTAAATGCCTAGAAGGCAGGGGGGCTGTTTATTCGTTGAACTTATGATATACAAAAAGTACAAAAAGGTGACTCATGACTGTCACTTTAGATCTAACACCTAGCAAAGCACCAACATTTTATTGAGTGATTAATGAATCACTTAGGAAGGAGCTACTTCATGACTGGACTTGATTAGAATTAGATGTTACCTCTACTACTGAAAAGGTATTTTTAGTAATGCTGGTTAATTCCAAGAATTTTCTAGGCACTGATTGGTCTACACTATACTATGAAATGTTGATAGTGTGTTGAATGAATTCTTTTTTTTTTTAAAGATTTTATTTATTTATTTGACAGAGACACAGTGAAAGAGGGAACACAAGCAGAGGGAGTGGGAGAGGGAGAAGCAGGCTTCCCGCAGAGCAGGGAGCCCGATGTAGGGCTCGATCCCAGGACCCTGGGATCATGACCTGAGCCAAAGGCAGACGCTTAAGGACTGAGCCACTCAGGCGCCCCTGTTGAATGAATTCTTGATGATAAGACTTTCAGGGTGGTTGTGTTTTTCTCTTAAATTGTTTGCATTACTTTTTTTCACTTAAGGCAAGAGTGTTTTGCTTTTTTTTTTAAAGATTTTATTTACTTATGTGTCAGAGAGAGTGTGTACAAACAGGGGGAGTGGCAGGCAGAGGGAAAAGGCGGCTCCCCGTCAAACAAGGAGCCTGATGTGGGGCTTGATCCCGGGACCCTGGGATCATGACCTGAGCCAAAGGCAGCACTTAACTGTATGAGCCACGCAGGAGTCCCAACAGTGTTTTGCTTTTTTATTCCCTCCAAAGTATTTGCAGTTAAATACATTCTCCCCCCCCTTTTTTTTCCTTAAGATTTATTTATTTAGGGGTGCCTGGGTGGCTCAGTTGGTTAAGCGACTGCCTTCGGCTCAGGTCATGATCCTGGAGTCCCAGGATCGAGTGCCGCATCGGGCTCCCTGCTCGGC